CATAGTAGGGCTGCACGATTAATCAAATGCGATTGTCATGCGCAATTTGATGGTAATGCCGGTTCTGTAATCAGCAGGAAATCATCATCACGTGCTTTCAGATGGAGCAGAATTTACTACACAGAGCCGTAGTTCACTGACAAGTTACGCAAAAAAATCGCAGACGGTTTTATTGCGCGATTATGAACGTTTGCGATAATGACATCTGTTCGCATAGCTTCTCAGTGAACTACGGCTCTGTGAAGTAAATGCTGCTCCATTTGAAAGCATGTGAAAATACCACGTTTAATAACATATTTTTACTCCAAACTCACTTCATAATGTCAGTCGAGTGAAATAAATCCTTCTGTGAGATGATGTGGCACGCAACATATTTCATAGTATTTAAGCAGTGATTAAGGCATTGCATTATAAATATACTTATTTTAATGAAAATTATAATAATAAGAACTCAGATAAACCATATATTGCCGTAGTCGTGTGTTTATTAGTCACGTTGAATCATTGAAAGCAGTTGAATCTTCTGTTTATTCAGCTGCAGCAATGGGCATTTTCTGGGTTTCTTCTGCGAGGCATATTTGGAGTTTCAGCGCGAGAGCACCCTCTGGCCTTCGGATGGAGATTTACTGCTGATCACAGAACCGTGCTTCACTGAAAGATACGCATGACAATCGCAGCTTCTGTCGAATCGCGATCTCGATTCCATTTCGATTTATCATGCAGCCCTACATCATAGGCATATTAAAATTAATTTTTTATTATTATTTTAAATTAAACATTTTGATCATTGCAGGCAGATCTGAACCAAACAATTTGGGCATCATTTTGTGTTTCTGTTTTTAAATCCAAAATCTTAAAGGGATAGTTCATCCAAAAATTAAAATTCTGTCATAATTACTCACCCTCATGTTGTTTCAAACCCGTATGACCTTCGTTCATCTTCAGAACACAAATTAAGATATTTTTGATGGAATCTGAGAGCTGTCTGACCCTGCATAGACAGCAATACAACTGAAATGTTCCCAAGTTCCAGAGACGTAGCAAGGAGATCTGTAAAATAATCCACGTGGCATCAGGGATTCAACCGTAATTTTACAAAGCTATGAGAATACTTTTTGTGCGCAAAAGGGAAAAAAAACGACTTTATTCAACAATTCGTCTCCTCCGCGTCACCCTGTAGCGCCATTTTGGAGAGTATCAGCTGGACGTAAACAACATATGCTATTCTGTGTCAGCTGTGTCACACGGATGCGCTGTTGCTTTTGAATGAAACATTTGTATGAAACATATCAGGAATATTTTAATGTTTTAGTCTAACATTTTAGCCATCATAGACATATTTAAATGTTTGAATCAAAAGTAATTTTGAACATTCAAATTAAATGTTTTTAAAATGTAATGTTTTTTAAATGATTTTTTATGTATCATATGCATTATCTGATTGCATACTTTTAAATCAAACCTGTTTGGGCATTATTGCAAAACAATACAAAAGTCTCATTAAGACGTGTTTACACTTGGCATCTTTTTTGAAGCTGCCAGCGTCTGTTTTACATTATAATCCTATGGACCTTTTTTGAAAACAGTGTTTTCAAAAAAGTCCTGAGCGCTTTTTTAAATGCCATCGCCGGCGTCTTTTTCTGCAGCTCAGAGTGTCTTTTCAAGTTGAAAAAAGTTTAACTTTTCTGAAAAAAACGCCCTATGTCAAGCGCCTTTTTGACAGCTGACCAATGACAAGCGAGTAGCGAGACCTGTCGTTTCCATAAAAACAAGAACAAGAAAAAATGGAGAAGGTGCCGGTTGATAAACTGATTGTACTAGTTTCGGAGCACACAGAGTTATATGATATGAGCACGAAATATTTAGTCTAATAATAATGTTGTATGTTTAGTCTAAAATATGCCGCAAACCGTGCATCGTCTAACCGGAGGTCCTGGATTAAATTGTTTTAAGCACTTTACTGGTTCCTTCCCTGTATAATGTCGTGCATCCACAAACGTCATTGTAAACCGACATTCTCTTCTCCGTTAACTTCAAAAGCCAACGCAAGAGCCAATTTTCCTCTTTCTCAATATGCCATCGCCGGCGTCTTTTTCTGCAGCTCAGAGCGTCTTTTCAAGTTGAAAAAAGTTTAACTTTTCTGAAAAAAACGCCCTATGTCAAGCGCCTTTTTGACAGTTGACCAATGACAAGCGAGTAGCGAGACCTGTCGTTTCCATAAAAACAAGAACAAGAAAAAATGGAGAAGGTGCCGGTTGATAAACTGATTGTACTAGTTTCGGAGCACACAGAGTTATATGATATGAGCACAAAATATTTAGTCTAATAATAATGTTTTATGTTTAGTCTAAAATATGCCGCAAACTGTGCATCGTCTAACCGGAGCTCCTGGATTAAATTGTTTTAAGCACCATACTGGTTCCTTCCCTGTATAATGTCGTGCATCCACAAAGAGGCAATTTTCCTCTTTCTCAACATTTTTGCACCACACAGCGCTAGGCTACTGTTGCAGCTGTTGCTATAGCAACAAAAGATGCCCTCGGCTGCTATTTGTAACAGAAACGCTGCCAGCTTTTTTTTTTTTTTTTCACTAAAAAAACGCCCTTGTCAACTTTTTCTTGTCAAAAAAGATGCCAAGTGTGAACATAGCCTTAGTTAACTTTAATTAATGCATTAATGTTAACTAACAGTATTTATTCATCTTTGTTAACGTTAGTTACTAAAAATACAACTCTTCATTGTGAGTTCATGTTAGCTCAGGTCTATTAAATAATTCTAACATATACAGCTTAATAATTTATTAGTAAATTTATGAATTAACATTAACTAAGATTAATAAATGTGACCCTGGACCACAAAAGCAGTCATAAGTAGCACGTGTAAATTTGTAGCAATAGTCAAAAATATAATGTATTTGTCAAAATTATAGATTTTTCTTTTATGTCTTTTAAGTAAAGATCATGTTCCATGAAGATATTTAGTAAATTTCCTACCGTGAATATATAAAAAATGTATTATCATTAGTCATATGCATTGCTAAGAACTTCATTTGGACAACTTTAAAGGCGATTTTCTCAATATTTCGATTATTTTGCACCCTCAGATTCCAGATTTTCAAATAGTTGTATCTCGGCCAAATATTGTCCTATCCTAACAAACCATACATCAGTGGAAAGCTTATTTATTCAGTTGTCAGATGTAAGATTTCAGAAAAGATGTATAAATTCTTACATTCAGATGTATAAATCTCAATTTCAAAAAAATGACCCTTATGACTGGTTTTGTGGTCCAGGGTCACAAATTCTTTCTAAGAATCATGTGTTTGGTTGTTCAGATTAAATGCTTTCAGATTGAATGTTTGAATCAAATATTTTTGCGTTTCATAGGTACGCCTGAATGTTTGAATTGAACACATTTTGAATCAAACCTTTAAATCAGACATTTTCACGTTCAAATCGTGTATGAAATTCTAGTGAATCAAGCACAGTTAGACTGAATGTTCAAACTGTCTCGGTAGGCAGCTCACTAGATTTTAAGTTTTGAAACACAGCATGTGTCTTTGTGGATTCACACAGCGTGTGAAACTTCCTCATGCATGGGAAGAGTCAGATCAGCCTGACATCAGACAGAGCGGAGTGTGACTTTAATGTCATCTACAGGCTGCCATTTCCAGGCACCGCGGCACTGCTTCAAATCTATCCTCATACAAATGTCTTAAATAAAAAGAACACTTATCAGAGGCTGTGTATGTCTGTTTTTATGATGATTGATGTGTGTGAAATATGGTATTACTGCAGAGCCCGTCGATGATTTTCAGTTCTGTTTATTACAAGCTTGTGGCGGCTCTGACTGATCAATACTGAGTCAGAGGAAACCGTGACGACAGGACTCCATACCTCTCTGTCTCTCATTCATTCTCTCACTTCTTAAAGCCTCTGTCTATCATTTCTTATGTGAAACTTTCTCTTTTCAGTCCTTCTTTGCTTTACGGCCCTTTTCTTTTCTTCTCTCGGTTTCTTATCAACTCTCCGCCCTTAAATTCCTCTCTCTTTCTTGTTGCTCTGCATTTACATGCTGCAGTCACTCTAGCCCCATACCGCTGCAGTAATTGGAAAGCCGTCACTGAGCTCAATGTTTAGAGCGAGGGATAGATGGAGGGAGAGAGAGATAGCTGGAAAAAGTGTGTGAATATGCATGTGTGTTCAGACTGTCTGATTTTGACAGTAAAGGTTTAATGGTAACACTTTACAATAAGGTTCAATTTGTTAGCATTATTTAACATAAACTAACAATAAAAAATACTTATAAAGCATTTATTAATCTTAGCTTGAGTCCAACATTTACTAATACATTATGAAAATCGAAAGTTGTGTCTATTGCTGTTATTTAATGGACCTGAGCTAACATGGACTAACAATGAACAGTTGTTTTTGTGTTAACTAATGTTAACAAAGATTAATAAATACTGTAACAGTGTACTGCGCATTGTTAGTTAATGTTAGATAATTCATTAAATATCGTTAACAAATGAATCGGGGACTAAAACAGCACAAATAAACAATGCATAAACAAGTGTGATTCATTCTCAGTGAATCCAACCAATTTGAGCAGAATTCCAATAGGGGGAAGTTAACATCCTTTGGACACACAAACCTGTTAAAGCCCTTTAAACCTCACGTCTCGAGTGTGTGTTTTGCTGTAATTCTAGTTTTGTTCCTGACTGGTCTAAAAACAAGAATCATATTGGGAGGTTGCCTTTTCACTTGTGTGTGTGTGTGTGTGTGTGTGTGTGTGTGTGGAATGAATGGGTGAACGATTTGCGATGAATGAGAGAGACAGGGTTATAGCCATTCTGCCTGCAGCTGTATTAACATTCAGAAGCTGTCTTACTGAAAGAGAGAGACGGGGAGGACAGAGAGACAGGGGAGGGAGGGAGAGGAGGACTTGGAGGGCAGAGAGAGGGGAATAGGAGGGGCTGTTGATTACAGCACTAGGAGAATGTGTGTGTGTGTGTGTGTGTGTGTTTGTGGGTGCAGGGCTGTTTTAGGGGGGTGAGGTGAGTCGTGCTCAACCCCCCCACACACTAATCAATCCGGACCCCTGGCGTTGTCGTCGGCGACCGTCGGCGTACGGATAGAATGTTCAGGGTGGGAGCTCGCCAGCCCAGCCACGGGAAAACGGTGCAGCCGCGTCACAGAGTGTGTGCGCTTGCGAGTGTGTGTGTGAGAGCCACGGGGAGTGAACATGCCCCACTCGCGGCGAGTGCAGCCCGAGCGCTCGCCGCCGTTCGCGACAGGCAGCCGTTAGCGGGAGCGAGGGAGAGGGCGGGGAGTGCTCAGAGGGAGGAGAGGTGGAAGAAAGGAGGAGAGAGGAGCAGAGGAGGAGAAGAGGGATAGGAAGAGAGGGAGTGAGCCGCTTTCACCTGACGGCCCTGGCCGGTTCGGGAATATCGAGGAGACCCGCGCATGCATGCATGCTGCCGCCTTCTCGCGGGACCATGTCGTTGACCACCGGATTTGGCTACCAGTTGCCGGGCATCACCACGGTAACCTATGTTTTTGTTTACAGCCCAGGGACTGTCCAGCGGGACCCCAGCCCTCCTCCCGCGGGGCCCTCGCACACACTCTCAGGAGCCCGGGGCCCCAAACGGAAACTCTACAGCGCCGTGCCGGGGCGCACCTTCATCGTGGTCAAACCGTACTCACCGCAGGGAGAGGGAGAGATCCAGCTGAACCGCGGAGAGAGGGTCAAAGGTGAGTGCCCTTTCCCTGCTATTCGCTTTGAACCTGACAGCTGTCAATCTTCTGGAAAAGGGGCGGGGTTAGGCCAAGTTTGCTCTGTGATGCAACAGTCATGGTTTGTGCATTGCAATGTGTTTCTCTTGCTATTACAGTTGATTTGTTGGTTCTTTATCATTTTTATCGGGCTGTTCGGGAAGACTTGTGACTTTATTGCCAAAAAAATTGCTTTTCAAATAATCATGTATTGGACCAGAAAAAAAAACTACTGACAAGGCTGTTTGGATTATTTGAGTTCAGCTCAGTTTATTTTTGGAACTAAAACAGGGTAATATTGGTTATAGGTCGATAATCTCAAAATGGCATACTGCCAAAAATAATTAATAATAATAATAATTCTGATTTTCCCTGTTTATGCTTTGTAAATTAATTATACAGCTATAATTTTTATTTATAAAATTGATTTGCTAAACTAAATGTGTATCTGTTGCATACAGTTAAATATTGTCATTGCTATAAGCAGAAAATGATTTGAGACAGCCTGTAGAACTAGATCTGCTGGCTAAGTTATGAACAGGACTGTAGTTGGATCCACAGTGACCTACAGATTGTCTGTTTTGCAAGATGCACATGATTTTCCATCTTTTAACATGTCATCTGCACTGGTACGTCTCTTCTGAGACGAAGGGTTGTTGTCTGTCAAGCACTGCTCTCTGGAGACCGACTCTCAAATCACAAACATACAGGCACACAGGCCTTGCTTACGTGCTCTAGCTAGGGAATCTTGATCCAGAGGAGCTTCAACTCATGTATTCATGTGTTTGTGCTGTGTACATGCATTGTTATTAAAAGATGTGGTTGTAACTCAAACTCACTTTTGAGCGTGTGAATGAATGCTGTAGAAGTGTGTGTGTGTGTGTGTGTGTGTGTGTGTGTGTGGGTGTGTGTGTGTGTGTGTGTGTGTGCGCGCTCATGGTTCAGGTTCATGGCTTATGTGTTGTTCTGTTCTTGTCTCCATTCATGCTTCAAACCAGACTACCACTCAAACGCAGTGGAAGGTAAAGAACTCTGCATCCATCCCACAGCCCTCCAGTGTGTATGAGTGTGTGTGTGTGTCCCGTTCACAGCCCCCATAGTGGTGTTTTTATCCTTCAGTAACTCTTTTTTTTTTCCACTGTGCCCTACTTGCATGCCCACCTGTGCTCACACATCTGTACCCAACACCCCGAACACATACATGGCAATGTTACTGTGTTTCCTTCTTCCCACTGTATGGAAAAATATTGCACATATTCTGATTTCTGTCACATTTAATGCTTAAAGCATTTTAATAGAGTAAAATTTCCTCCGCTTGTACCCAGAGGAGGCTGTTATTGCTCTGAGGTTGCTCAAGTGTAGCTCAGAAAACTTAGTGGAGCTTCATTTAAGTGTTAACTTTGTCTCAGATGTTTCTACTAAAATAGCTTCTGAGAAATACAACTAGACATGCATTACATTACATTATTTGCGTATAGTATGAGTAAAGAGTTGTATAATTATGCGACTAGAAGAGCTCAGATCATTTGGTCTTGAAAGAATTTGAATGGAACATGTTGTTGTGATTATTATTGCTCAGACGCTGCCTTTTATTGCAGCACTTGAGTCTTAATAAATGTCCTAGTTATGCTGCATTTAAATATTAGCTTTCCTCTAAAATTCCTTGTGAGAAATACAGATAGAGATGAGATTAGATAAATATTTGCGTACGGTATATGAGAGTAAAAAGTTATATATTTATGCCGCTGGCAGAGTTCAGATCATTTGGTCTTGAAGAATTTGAATGGATATTATTATTAGTAGTAGTATTGCTCTTTTGCATTAATGAGACTATCTGAAGGTCCTAGTTAAGCCACATTTAAGTATTAATTTAGTCTAAAAATTAAAACAAGTCAAAAGTTGACATACAGTAACAGTATAAAACTATAAAATTCATGTGGATTGCATAATTCAGTCGATTTGATTTTGGGTGGATTTGATGAGAAATGTTTGAGATCCTATTGAGATCTTTGGTATCTTGACAAATATTAGCTTAGTTTGTGATACTGCTGAGATCTTTTCTGAATGTCTTGAGGAAGCGTTACTAATCTCTTTCTCCTACTACTAGTTCTAAGAAACAAAATTAGCAAAAGTCTCAGTTTACTTTCCATTTAATCTCATTGCTATCTGGGAGAAACATCTGAGGTATCATAGAGATCTTATTTGTAATTGTACTGTCCTATGGGGCATGTAATCGTTTAGTCAAGAACAGCTGCACATACGCTTTACCTTCTGAAAACAACATCCTGACTCACATTCCTGTGCTGGGCAGCAGGTGCATTAGTGGCCGTGAAGTGCCAGGATGCTGGTGGAGATGGAGTTGCCGCTATAATCTGGTGGCACCATGACAGCATGCTGCTTGTGCCAGCTCAGAAACAAACTATATGCTGGACACACGACACATCTCTGATGTAACAGCACCATATGTCAAAAAACATTAATATTTCCTGTGCACTTTCTGTTCTTGTAGCACCTCTGTAACCTTACAAAGAGACTAGCGAGCTTGCAGCAGTCTCTCTTTGACTCCCAGCTCCTGATATATTCATAATGCCTGTCTCACTGATGTACATTAATGTAGGAGTCACTGCTGGGAAAACAACATCTCATTTTCAGATTCAGCAACGCTGTCTATGCAGTGGGTCTCATTCGTTAACCTTTCAGTTTTGTACCTTAATGTGTCCTGAATTTAGGTTTATATAAAATGTATTTTTATAAATATTATATATATATATATAATTCAATTGTTTATGGTAATTTATCACATTATAAAATTGTTTAAATATGAAATGTATTTATTTTTATACATTTTTATTTTAGATACACTTTCAGTTAGTTCATTAAATTTGGAGTCAGTCAGATTTTTTTTGCTTTAAATAAGTTTCATATTGTCATCATGGCTGCATTTATTTAATCAAAAATACTGTAAACATAGTAATATTGTGAAATAATATTACAATTTATAATAATTGTTTTCCATTTAAATGTATTTTAAAATGTGATTTATTCCTGTGATTGCAAAGTTTAATTTCCTGCAGCCATTTCTTCAGTCTTCAGTTTCACATTTTCATCAATTTAATGCATCCTTGCTAAATAAAATGATCAATTTCTTCAAAAAGGAAAATGTTACTGACCGCTAACTTTTGAATAGTAATGTATAATACCTGGTGCATCTCAAACTACTGAACTATACTGAGAGATGCCGGCTATTTTTACTGCATGCATGGACATTTCATTCAACTCAAAATGAAATATTCTAATAATTTAAGATACTTTTTTTTAGCTGTAGTCTGTCATTCTCTGCATGCATGCTTAAAACATTTTGATTTACATGAGTCTGGAATATAGTACATTTTCACTTACTGAATTAATTGATGAAAAATATTTAACTTTTGCACAATATTCAAATTTTTTAGATGCACCTGTACATATTTTATATAATATTTTTCAATATTTTATATAATATTTATTGTGCAAAAAAAAAAAATCTGGACATGGTGGGTGTGTATTATGGTAATTGATAACTGCAGGCACATTTTTCCTCATCTAGAATAATCCAGAGATTTTGTGTAAGATCTCAAGAAGTATGCAGCTTGTGTGAGAATGTTGTGCGAGATGTTATTTTGTGCCCCAATCGCATAAGTTCACCTTTGGAGACTATCACTCCCTGATAAAATCACATTTGGGTGCACAAATGCCTACTAGACCTTGAGGACTGAATAAACCCACTCGTGACTTCAGGTTGATAACCTTTAGCGTGCTCATGTGGGAATGTTTTGATGGTCCTTTGCCTCATACAAATGTGAAATGCAGTTTAACTGCGTGGCTTCAGTTCATTGGAGCTTACTAACTTCAGCCTTGCTTTGAGGTCGCAGATGATAAACGGATAAGGGCTGCAAATGTATCCCCCTCACGGGGCTCTGACCTGCTACTGAGGAATGATATTTTTAGTGTAGCATTTTTAGGGCAGATTGAGGGTAAAGTCACATCTCAAGCTCGATAAGTGATTGATACATTTGTATAAAACCAAAGGTAAGAGCATATGTTTTTACCCAACAGCTTCTGGTGCTGAGCTAAGTTACATTATAAAGGATCTGAAAACGGGTTACATGATATTTACTGGTATATGCTTTGAAATTATTACATATTTAAAATTTTAGTATGACCATTGAACCAGAACATTTGATATCCCTACTTCTGATTACTCAAGTTGAGTACAAGAGTTAAGTAAACATAGACATCAAATTTGGAAGCTCCAGCCAAGGACTTCCAGAATAAATTCTGAGGAGTATAACTGACATTCACAATAAGCTGTTGTCTGTCGGCTTGTTCAAAGAGACAGTACGTCTAACACTTTATCTCTTTCTGCCTCTCTTACAATGCTGTTTATCTGTTTCTTCTTCACTCTTCATTCTCCGTCTTTACCTTGACTTTTTTTTCTAACAGAAGAGAATGTTTATGAGGAGATCATGCTCGGTAAACATGAAGCCCACTCATCTCCACCTGTCTTTCCTCTATCCTCTTCATAGATCTATGAGTAGCTACACGAGTATACTCAGTAGATAGTGATAGTACAGTCATAGTTATCTGTAGAGCAAAATACACTAGTAAAATCAGCATTGAAGACCAACAAATGCACACCTTTGTCTTGTTGTAGAGCTCTGATGAATGTGTGTTTTCTCTCTCTGGCAGAGTCTATCAAAGAAAGTGAAGAGGAAGGTAAATTCATTAGTGTAGAGCTGTGTGCACTGTGTGACTCCTGCTGGACTCTCTGTAGACTGCTTTAGGTCAGATGGAACCAGTTTGAGACTGCAGACCACCAATAGAATGAAGATCCCTGTAGATTCAGTGCAGTAGGTTACTAGGCTTTAGCGAAAAAGGATGGAATGATGGATGAGGTTTGCTACAGCATGTGCCTCTGTGTGTGTGTGTGTGTGTGTGTG